TGAAGGAAGTAGTTCTGGAAAAGGTTCAGAAGCTAGTATTGTTCCAAATTCTGGAGAAGCTTCAGAACAAGATCAGAGGCCACAGAGAATCAGACGAATACCAAGTAAGTTTGCAGATTTTAGCATGTTACATGATACTGAAGTAGATTCTGAAGGAGAAATCGTTCAGTGTGCCATGCTAGTAGATTCTGAACTAGTGGGTATTGAAGAAGCGCTCAAGAAGAAAGTATGGCTGCATGCCATGAACGAAGAACTTGAGGCTATTGAAAGTAACAAGACTTGGAAGCTGACAAAACTTCTAAAAGGCAAGAAAGCCATCAGCGTCAGATGGGTTTTCAAGCAGAAGCTAAAGCCAGATGGATCAATTGGCAAACACAAAGCGAGACTAGTGGCCAGAGGTTTTCTTCAGAAACCTGGACTAGATTACTTTGAGGTATTTGCGCCTGTAGCTAGACACGAAACAATCAGACTGGTGATTGCTTTAGCTGCAAACAGAAATTGGCCTTTGATACATCTGGATGTGAAATCTGCATTTCTGAACGGTCCATTACAGGAAGAAGTTTATGTGTCATAACCTCTTGGATTTGTGAAAAAGAATCAGGAAGGGATGGTATACAGGTTAAATAAAGCTCTGTATGGACTGAAGCAAGCGCCCAGAGCTTGGAATCTTAAGATTGATTTGTTTTTCAAGGAACAAGGGTTTCAGAAGTGTGAGATGGAGTATGGTGTTTACGTTCAGCACACTTCAGAAGGTAATATGATTCTGGTCTGTTTGTATGTGGATGACATATTACTCACAGGAAGTTCTGAACAAGAAACATCTGAGTTCAAGAAAGTTCTGATGGATGAGTTTGAGATGACAGATCTTGGAAAAATGAGTTTCTTTCTAGGGATGAAACTTATATACTCTGAGAAAGGAATCATTTTGCATCAGAAGAAGTATGAACTGGAGCTTCTGAAGAGATTTGAGCTAGCAAACTACAAAGTTGCTATCACACCTACTAATACGAATCAAAAGTTCGACTCTGATTCTGATGGAGAGGATGTGGACGCTACAACCTTCAAACAGATGGTTGGTTCACTGAGGTATTTATGTAATACCAGACCTGACATTTGTTATGCAGTTGGAATGGTCAGTAGATACATGAGCAAACCAAAGTGGTCTCATTACCAAGCTGCTGTCAGGATTCTGAGGTACATAAAAGGAACTCTGAAATATGGAGTGCTATTTCCTTCTGGAGGAAAGATCAAATCAGAACTTATGAGTTATTCTGATTCTGATTGGTGTGGAGACAGAGTTGACAGAAGAAGCACTTCTGGGTACTTATTCAAGTTTCTGGGAGGTCCAATTTCTTGGTGTTCCAAGAAACAACCTGTTGTGGCTCTGTCAACATGTGAAGCTGAATACATTGCTGGTGTTGTAGCTGCCTGTCAAGCAGTTCTGCTTCTGAATCTGCTGCATGATCTGAAGGTTGAAGTTGAGGAACCTCTGAAGCTGATGATTGATAACAAGTCTGCAATTAATCTTGCAAAGAATCCAGTTCTACATGGCAGAAGCAAGCACATTGAGACGAAGTATCACTTTCTCAGAAGTCAAGTGCAGAAAGGAGTGTTAGAAGTTCTGCACTGTAGCACTCAGAAGCAGCTGGCAAATGTTCTGACGAAGGCAATAAAAACAGACCAATTTCTGCGCTTGAGAGATGAAATTGGTGTTGTTAACTTCTGATAAATTACTAAATTACGGGATGGTATTAGAGGGTAATTTAGTATTTTGTTATTTGTTGATAAGTATTGATTAGGGCCTATGTGGCATTCTTATTTGTGTATAAATAGGTGTACTAGGTTTACATTTAAATCATTCAATTCTTCAATCATTTTGCTGTCAGCTTTTAGGCATTTATTCCTTCCTTCTTCTTCCTCAAATTCATCACCTTGCACTAACAGAAATGATTAAAAGTTAAGAATATCGTAGATGAAAGAAAAATCATAATTTAAAAAGTAACAATAATTATTAGTTTTGTTGATATGTATAAAAAGTCAAAATATGACCATTAGAAAAGAATGGAGGAAATATATATATATATATATATATATATATATATATATATATATATATATATATATATATATATATATATATATATATATATATATATATATATATATATATATATATATATATATATATATTAATTTGTTCATTTGTTATTGAATTTTAAATATATTAAAATTTTGTTTTGACAAAATGTGATTATTAAATTTATATTATAATTTTTTTTTATGAATTATAATAGAGATAATAATATAAATTAATCATATAGACAAATATAAATTTTATTTAAAAAGAAAATACAAGTGTGTAAATCGATAGTGATATCTGTAATTTAGATTTGTACACTTACATATCTATAAAGTTATTTTTTTTGTTTTGTTTTGATTCTCGTGTTTTTTTCACCTATCTTTTATTTAGATATTTTATTTTAATTTGTTAAATATATGTTTTTATTTTTAGTGTTAAATAAAATTAAAAATTTATTTATAATTATCATTAAATAAAACTTTCAATAACTTTTTAAAATTTATGTCTATTTTGTCGAACTTTATAAGATTGTTGTATACTATATTATTTTTTAAGATCAATTTAAAGTGACTTATATTTGAAAATTGTGTAAGAACTACTTTAAGATTAAAAACATTTATTTCAAGTGCTATTTTTATTGCTATAATTTTAGAAAAAGAAAAAATATTTTATTTTGTTTGGATTTTGACATCTCTTTTATTTTTAAAATTTGAGAGAAATATTCTTAATACGAAGGAATATACATAGTTGGAGTAATGATTGGCTTGTTAGACCATTTTATCCAAAATAAGATAAAAACATTTTATTATTTTAAAATTCTCTTAACTCTTTTGTGTAGTATTTTGTTATTTGCCATTAGTTTATTATTTGATATTATATAAAAAATACAGTAATAAAATATATAGACACGGTAAAAAATTGTTGATTACTATATTATATTTTAAATAAGTTTAAAGTGACTTGTACTTGAAAATCATGTAAGAACTACTTTAAAATTAAAAATATATATTTCAAGTGTTACCTTTATTACTATAATTTAAAGAAAACAAATATTTTATTATATTTGAATTTTCATATCTCTTTTATATATATTTTTTTGCACTTATCTTTTATTTAGATATTTTAAATAAGTTTAAAGTGATTTATACTTAAATTTTTTTAAAAACTACTCTAAAAATGAAAATATTTTTTTTCAAGTGTTACTTTTATTATTATAATTTCAGAAAAACAAAAAATATTTTATTGTATTTGAATTCCCACATCTCTTTTATATTTGAAATATGAGAGAATATTATAGTTGGATTAATAATTAGTTTGTTGGATTAATTTGTTCAAAATAATATATTATTATGTCTTTGTGGGAGTTCGAACTCGTGACCTCCAATTTATAGAAGTATAAGAGGAAAATGAGTTTTGAGATGTGTCACATAAGACTATAGGATGATGTGGCAAATTTAGAGTTATATTTGATGATGTGTTAGAGTTATAATTGATGATAAAGTTAAATATGTTTTTGGTCTCTATAAATATCTCAAAATTTATTTTTAGTCCCTATTAATAAAATGACATATGTTGACTCCTATAAAAATTTTATTCATGCATTTTTAGTCAATGTTATTTTCTAAAATTTTGAAATTAGTTTAATCACCTTTAAAATTTTAAATTTTTGAATATTTTTTTCATGAATGTTTAAAATACTATAAAATATTTATTTACCAAATTTTAAAATTTTTAAATCGAGAAAAATTTAATATGAATTTTTTAAATTTCAAAAGATATTTATAAAAGTAATAAAAATCTCGACTCAGAAATTAAATTGAGTTTTTTTTTTCGAGAAATTTTTTATAACGTTCTAAACATGTCTGTAAGATAATCATTTAAAAATACATATCGGTTTAATAACAAAAACTAAAACTACGTGAATAATAATTTTATATAGAATAAAACATATCAGTTTTTTATAGGATTAAAAACAAAATTTTATAATTTATAGAAAAAAAAAAATTTTTTAATCTTTAATAATATGTTGTTATAATATTTAGTATATGTAGCTATAAATATAGATGTCACAACATAGAGAAAATAAAATCTAGCCGTTTTATTATCGATGAATATGGTAAAGTACATAATGGAATAGGAAAAAGAAAGATCCAATGCAATAAATAACGTCAGAGAAGGTCAAGAAACCTATTTTTCAAAGGGCCATAACCTCAAATAACATTATCTAGTCTTGTATTTATGACCATAGCAACTAACGACGATGGAACCATTGAATGCTTCTACCCTCTTTTTCTAAGCCAGTATTGAGGTTTTTTAGTTCACACACCATCCTCTTCATGTAATCAATGAAACACAATCTTCATGAACTTTATATGGCTGAGTGTTTCATGGTTCAAATGACATTATTACAAATACATCAATTACTTTATACTGAAACATCATTTATTAAACGGGAGAAGAACTGGCTCATGTCTGATATGTTCTGTGCAAATTGAATTGTTTGGTTGAACGTGTGATATATATTGAGATCTGTCTCTCCTGATTAGCTTCTGCAATTGCGTAGAAAAAATCTCCGATTTATAAATATAAAAAAATCAGATAAGTTGTACATAAATTTATATATTTAATCATTATACACCAATATGATATACACATATTAATGACATGAACTTTATTTCATCGATCAATAGCACAATACATATATGGTTTTGAGGTTACACTTGCTTTTCACCTCTTCTAACCAAATAATACAATATTATAATATCTTTCAACATAAACAAACTAGAACAAATACTTTAAAAAGTTGCCACGAGTTCTTAAAATTTGTATATCATGTAACTTTTCCTTTTTTTTTTCTCTTAACACAATCAAACTATATCTTTCTGTATGATAATAATGATTATGATGATGATTAAATCTTTTAATCGATCTTCATCAAGCTAGTATCCAACCTTACAAAGCTAAGATAATCATCATGAATCCAATCATACTTCTCCTTAAATGGATTAATCAGTGATGGTGGAGGATAACTTTCAATAGAATCTGTCCAAACATTGGTATCAGATAAATCTCTCATCACTTCCCAAACACAATTGTTACACTTAAAACCAGCTCCAAGACTAATCATCAAAATTCTATCACCTTTTTTGAGTCTCTTTTTTGCTTCCATATACCCTAAAACATACCATAATCCACCAGCAGAAGTATTACCCCAACGATGAAGTGCCATTCTAGCCGGTTCAAGATCATATTCATTTAATCTTAAGCCCTTACCAACTCCATCAACCACTGCTCTACCACCAGGATGAACACAAAAATGCTCTATACCAGTTTTTAAGTTTATTCCACCTCCTAACACATTAAATATCGGTTTTTTAACCGTTTTAGCGCCGCGGTGGCTAAAAAATACTGAAAAAATATTTTCCAACTGAATTTTCTTCATACTGTTGCGTAGAGAAACTGTAAAAAACCGTACCAATTCCCAAAGTGGGAGAATCTTTGGAACCATGCTTTGCAAATTTACTGTCAAAGCTTGTGCAGCACATTTAACAAGACTTTTGGTTAGTAGAAAACCTGCAAAACCTTCTTCATCTTCCACTTGTATGCAACAACTGTAAGCTTCATCATCAGCACCATAATGTGTTCTCTCCATGTGTTTCAGTTTCAAGATAGCTTTGCTTTTCAGCTCCATTTTGTTTGTGAATAGCATCGAACAACCACCTGAACGAAAAAGACAGTTAGATAACATCATTTTTTTGTCCTTTCCACAGTACCAATGAGAGCCAAGATCTTCTGTGCTAACAACAATTCCTAAGGAGTTTTCATGTGTTTTGAAAAGCTGTTGCACAAGATCAATAGCCACAACACTTGCACTACACCCCATTCCTGCAAGATTGAAGACTTTCACATCTTCTCTCATTTTGTATCGGTTTATGATTCTTGCTGTGAGTGAAGGTACTGGTGAAAACAATGAAACATTAACAACAAGAATATCTATTTCTGAAGGAGAGAAACATGTTTTTTTGAAAAGGTTGTCGAGTGTATCGAACATGATTTCATCTATTTCTTCATATGTGTCTTTGAGATTTGGACATGCTTCTCTTCCTTCAAGAACGTTTTTTGGACAGTATGTGTTTTCGCCGATTCCTGAACTAACCATGGTTTTTAAGAGAAATCTGTATTCCTCTACACCAAGGTTTTTGTTTCTTAGGACTATTTTTGCACATGTGTTTGTGTTGAGTTTTGTTTCTTCTTTTGGTTTGAAACACTCATAGGCTAACATGTAACATGATTGGTTTCTACGTTTAAGAAACAACTTGAAAAGTTTTAAAAAGGAATAGAGTAAAGAAAAAAGGCACAAAGTCTTTAAGATATATTCCATGACTTGGAAACTATATCTTAGGAGAAAATATTTGTGTTTTGTTGCAAGTGTTTCTATATATAGACATGGTTACACTGTCTTTTGAAGTTTGCAAGTTGCAAATGGATAGCTTTCGCAAGTTGCATGGTATTCACTACAGACAATCCGAACTACTGGACCATACTATATTGACTATTGAGATTTATTCTGTTATTCTAAAAATGTAATTTAAAAAAATATGTTTCGTACTTTTTGTAACATATATGGATAAAGTTTAAGGTAGGGCTATAGTCAATAAATTTTCAACATTTAACTAAATGTATAGAGATTTTACATTGAATAAAAAAAGAAATTCTAATTTTGTATTTGAGAGGCTCTTGAATTTATAGATTTTTTGTACTGTTGCAAGGCTAGACTAATTTTTATTCATAAAATAATATATTTTAAAAAAAAAGGTTAAAGCCCACGGAGAAATAAAAGATACGAGAGAAAATAAATGTCAATTCGAAAGGTTAGAGAGAAATAAATATAGTCAATAAGTAAAAACAAACAAAAGCACATTATAAGAAATCACAACTAAAACAAACTAGCAAATAGAAAAAACAATGAAGAGATCTACACATCAACTCCACAATGAAACACCATCGAAACATAACCAAACTAGATCTTAGATAGGAGAACACCGAAAGCAAATAACAGATCTACGGGAAGCAATGACAACCAGATAAAAATAAGGAGTTAGGTTAGGAACCTTGATCCTCTATTGAATCAAACACGTGATAGGATTCTTAAGATCGTTGAACACTACTACAAAACGTACATTCAACAACGCACGGTTTTTTCCTACATCGTGGTGACTTCTCTAAACTAACGCGCTATCATATTTATTTTGTTTTTTGATTAAAAATTATTTGTATATAACAGCGGTTGAAGAATTAACCGTGGTATTACATGATGAAAATAATTCTGTTTAGTTTGTTACTAAACAATTAGTTTAGTTTATTACTTAAACAGTATATATAGTACTGTTTTGTACATTCCAAAACAAGAATAATACAATGAGTTTATTCCAAAATTAACATGGTATCAGTTTGAATTCTCTTTTCCGCGCCTTTCTTCTTCGCGCCTTCGCGCCTTCTTCTTCCTTTGCTGCATCAGCTTGATTATGGCGCTTCCTTACTCTGATTTTGCTACCAATCCTTCCAATCCTTACTACATGCATCCTAATGAGAATCCCTCTCTTGTTCTTGTTCAACCTGTTCTTGATACCAAGAACTACCAGATCTGGTCTAGATCGATGAAAGTGGCTCTTATCTCCAAGAACAAGATCAAGTTCGTTGATGGCACTCTTTCTCCTCCGCCTATCTCCGACTCTCTATACGAACCTTGGCTGCGATGCAACAATCTCGTCCTCTCATGGCTTCAACGCTCGATTTCTGAGGAAATTGCAAAATCTCTTCTCTGGTATGATCGTGCTTCTCTTGTATGGAAAAGTTTGGAAAATCGTTTTTCTCAGGGAGATATTTTTCGCATTGCTGACATTCAAGAAACTGTTGCTCGTCTTCAACAAGGAACTCTCGATATCTCTTCGTTCTTCACGAAATTGATGACGCTTTGGGAAGAAATCGAGAACTTCCGGCCAATTCGTGATTGTACTTGCGCTATACCGTGCTCCTGTGGTGCTGCTTCAGACTTACGCAAATTCAAAGAACAAGATAAAGTTATCAAGTTCTTGAAGGGCCTTGGTGACCAATACGCTCATGTTCGCTCGCAGATTATGTTGATGACCCCACTACCAACTCTTGATAATGTGTTTAATCTGGTTCTTCAACAAGAACGCCAATTCAACCTTCTTTTACCTTCTGCTTCTTCAATTGAGTCTCAATCGTTTGTCAATCACGTTTCTCAAGCACCTTCTCGTTCTTCTCACAACCCTGGTCGTGGTCGTGGCCGTGGTGGCCGTGGAAACCGGCTCTGTACTCATTGCAACCGCACCAATCACACCATTGAGACTTGTTTCATGAAACATGGCTATCCCCCTGGATTTCAACAACGCAAGCCTACTACATCAGTGGGGAATTCTGTTGATTCTACAGTGAACTCGATTCAAGATGCTGCTTCTCCTCAACTTGAAGCATTATCTTCCTCTGCTTCCACATCAAACACCAGTCCAAGTGCTTTGTCTATGATTCAAGAGCAATACACTCAGATTCTGCAGCTCCTCCAACAGTCTAATTTGCAATCTCCTTCACCTCCCTCGATTAATTCTGTTTATACTGCTAATTCTGTGTCCCATACCTCTCCTCATACTTCCTCTGGTAAGAATTCCTCGAATCTTCCTTGTCATAACTGGTGGATCATTGACACAGGTGCCACTGATCACATCACCCATATCTTTGCCAGTTTCCTTTCCACATACCACATTGCACCTAAATCTATGACAATGCCTAATGGTGACTCTGTCACTACCACTTTTGCTGGTTCAGTTTTACTATGTGATTCACTTGTCCTTCACAATGTTTATTATTTTCCTTCATTTCATGTCAATATTATCTCTGTCACCACTCTTTTTGACTCCACTTTATATGATGTGAAATTTTCTCCTAATTGCTATCAAATTATGCAGTTGTCTCAATCCAAGATGACTGGATTTACAGCTAAGAGGATTGGCAAATTGTATGTTCTTGATGCCACCCCACCTAAGGCCATCTCTCCCACATCTGGCTCTGTCAACACCTCCTCCTCTCCCCAATTAGAACCTGCTAAACACGATCTTGTTACTATTTGGCATCTTAGGCTTGGACACTTAAGTCCCTACATACACAAATGTATTTCCTCTCAATTTCCTTTTGTCACCTACAATGACAATCATAAGCCCTGTAATACTTGCCATTTGGCTAAGCAAAAACATTTGCCTTTTACTCACAATAATACTAAGTCTGTTGCCATCTTCGAATTACTTCATGTTGATATTTGGGGCCCTCTTTCCACACCTTCCATATGTGGCCACAAGTATTTTTTAACCCTCGTAGACGATTACAGCAGGTTTACTTGGACAATTTTTATGGCCAACAAAAGTGAAACCAGAAACCATTTAATTCACTTCATATCCTTTATCGAAACTCAATTTAACAAGAAACTCAAGTGCATTCGTAGTGATAATGGTCCTGAGTTTCTCATGACCACTTTCTACCTTTCTAAAGGAATCATTCATCAAAGGTCTTGTGTGGAAACGCCTCAACAGAATGGTATCGTGGAAAGAAAACATCAGCACATTTTGAATGTTGCCCGTGCCCTCTCTTTCCACTCTCACCCCCCTCACAACCTTTGGCACCTTTCCATACAACAGGCCATTCATATTGTAAACCGTCTTCCCACTCCTCTTTTAAACAACCACTCTCCCTACCAAAAACTCCATTCTACTCCTCCCAGCCTTAACCATATGAGAGTCTTTGGTTGTCTTGCCTATTCTTTGACCTTGCTTAACCATCGCACTAAATTCGAACCAAGAGCAAGGAAATATATTTTTCTTGGCTACAGGGAAGGCACAAAAGGCTACCTTCTCTATGATCCTATCACACATGAATTTTACATTTCAAGGAATGTATTCTTTTATGAAACTGTGTTCCCTTTTGCATCCATCCCACCTGCACCCAACCCTATAATTCCTACTCCTGACCCTCCTTCCCTTGATTCACCTGATATTTTCACCAACATTCCACCCAACTTACCTCCACCATCAAATGAACCTTCCTCTCCTACCTCTCTCCCCCAGCCAGATTCTCCCACTAACCTCTCTTCTTCCTCAAATGACACTAACAACTCCCCTTGCCCCTCCCCTCCTGTGCCAACCAGAAAATCCAATCGAAATATTAAACCTCCAGCTTATCTATCTGATTATCACTGCAATTTGCTATCCCCCATGCTGCCAGCATCTGACTCAGGTTCCTCTAACTACCCTCTCTCTTCTGTATTATCTTATAGCCAATGTAGTCCTGATCACAAATTATTTTGTCTATCCATAAGCTCTTTCACAGAACCAAAAGCCTATAAACAAGCCTGCAAGTTTGATTGTTGGAACAATGCTATGAAATCTGAGTTAGATGCTCTTGAATCTACAAATACTTGGTCTGTTGTTGATTTGCCTGCAGGAAAACAATCGATTGGTTGCAAATGGGTCTACAAAATCAAGTATCATGCTGATGGATCCATCGAACAATACAAGGCCCGTTTGGTAGCAAAAGGATATACTCAGCTGGAGGGGGTGGATTATTTCGACACTTTCTCACCTGTTGCGAAGCTTACTTCTATTCGAACCCTTCTCTCAGTGGCTGCCATTAAGAATTGGCACTTGGAACAACTCGACGTCAATAATGCCTTCCTTCATGGTGATCTACATGAGGAAGTGTATATGGATCTGCCTCCTGGATTCTTGCCCCCTGCTTCTTCGACCAACGAAGTCTGCACTTCTTCGACCAACAAAGTTTGCACTTCTTCTGCTTCTTCGACCAACAAAGTTTGCACTTCTTCGACCAACGAAGTTTGCACTTCTTCGACCAACGAAGTTTACACTTCTTCGACCAACGAAGTTTGCACTTCTTCGACCAACGAAGTTTGCACTTCTTTGACCAACAAAGTTTGCAAATTGCATAAGTCATTATATGGCCTGAAGCAGGCTAGCAGACAGTGGTTTTCGAAATTGTCCACTGCCCTTATCTCTCTTGGCTACTCATATTCTTCTGTTGATCATTCTTTTTTCACAAAATCACATGACTATTCTTTTACTGCCTTATTAGTCTATGTTGATGATATTGTCTTAGCCGGTAATGATTTGCAGGAAATCCAATATGTCAAATGCTTCCTTGATTCCACTTTCAAAATCAAGGACCTTGGTAGGCTAAAATATTTTCTTGGTCTATAAGTTGCCAGATCAACTCATGACATTTTTCTCAATCAGAGAAAGTACGCTTTGGAATTGCTCGAAGACAGTGGCTTATTGGCTACTAAACCTTGCTCTACTC